TGATGTTAATAGAAGTGATAGGCAAAGAATAAAGAGCAAGCCATCCAATTTAGTCTTTTCCTGCTCAGAAGGATGTGACACAGCTGACTAACCTTGAAGAGCAGGCTGTTGTGTTAATCACCGATGCCCTTGAGCTGTCCTATCCATTTCACTTCTCGGTTTCCTGAAGAGTTGCTCTTCCCAAGGTGCAGTTATGTCTTGAAGAAATACCGACTGTAGCACTGTATGAAGCGTACATAGCAGAAACCAATTCCCTCAGCAGCAAACAGGGAACGGATTTTTATCATTTATACGGAATATACTCCAAGAATTCTCTCTTCAGTTTAGTTATTATCTTTCCCTACAGTGTGGAATATTCAATTAAACCTTCTCTCAAATTGGCGATAACTTTCAATGAGAATTAAAGCAGTTCTATTTAGGTAACGATATCTGTCACCAGGCTTAATGTTTGGAGAGAATAGGAATGGTTTCACCTGTTCATGTGAATTAACCTCAGCTGGCATTCACATTTCAGTTCCTCAAAAGCACAGAAAGACAAGCACTTAGCATCTTACTGGATGTGCTGGCACTCAGGTTTAGGGAAGTGGAGAGACACAAAAAATATACCCTTCATTTGGAATGTATCTAAATTAATCTGGCCTTTTTTTAATGTATTTTGTGAATCACTGGGTGGGGGGGAGTATATTTCAGCAGAAGCTAGGTTAGCAGAATGTTCTAAATTATCTATTATATTCTGTCCAATAGCATACGGGCATACATCTTGTACTGTATTTAAAAATGTCTTATTTTATCATGAAATCTACTGAGATTTCCTATATCCTGCATCTTGCTGAAAGAAATACACTTCCCTCAAAGGAGGCAGAAGCAGACCAGTAGTACATTTGTTTCATCTGACAGGGAGGAAAAAAAAATGCTTTTTGGTAACCAATCTTGTTTGCAACTTGTCTTAAGCTGAGGGCAGCTCAGTGTTCATTCTGGGTTAACTCATTTCAGGCTCCAGCAAAAGAAACGTAACTCAGAAAAATAAAATCTGTCACTGGGAGAGTGTCTCAACAGTTAGCTTGTCTGGGAAGATTACTTATTGTATTTTCCCAGGACAGTAACAAATGTGTAAGGAGTAGCACAGGTTATGCAGCAGCTGCTTTATATCATAAAGGGCCAAGTGAGCTAAAATAACTGAGCAGTTTTCATGCGTATATGCATATATGCACTGCTCAATGAAATGACAAAAAGAGAGCCTAGTAAGCCTGCTAAGCTCAGGAAATAGCCTCCTTCTAGCATGGTGGGCTTCTGTGGGTCTGGAGGCTAGTAGTGTTTCTTAGTTACAAGCTAAAAACGCGTTATGTCACACTGTGATTAAGAGTCCCTGAGGGTGATTGCAATAGAAATGAAGTTACCACTTTTATTAATACAATAACAAAAAAAAATAATTTAAAAGTTCACATTTTTAAGTTCTCTGGATAGCAAAACTTTGCTGCCACAAAACCAGGTACTGCAATAGTGCAAAGGTGTTTCCCTGTGAAGACCCTATACATCTGAGATTCTTTTCTACACAGTAACATAAGTTAGTCAAATTGGACTGTTGATGGGACAGGTGCTTTTAGTTTTCTGTCTGTAAGAATCTAGGCAGCAGTTTGTTTTATTTATTAGTGACTTATTTAGTGTTCCTTGAACCAGATCATCCCCTTGTGTGAGCTACTGTGACTCAGCTCTCCTCATATACTCTGTTAGGATCTGGGCTGCTGTGATTTCAGTCACGTATTAGACTGTAGCAAAAGGACTCTACAGGCTGAAGATTAAATAGTTTGGACTTGCTTATCTTGGTTATACACAGGCAGCAATAAAAGAAAAGAGAAAGGCACCCAAACTAATTCCATCTACCCAATGTTTCAAGGTTTTTCCTCCTCTTCTGTTCCCCTGATATGCTGGCAGCTGTTTTCAGAGCTTCTCCCTTCCTTACCCAGTACCTTTGTCTGGAAAACCAAGTCATAGTTGAACCAGGGCTTCTCTTCTTGCTGGCTAACAGGAAGGGAAAGCATTTTTTTCTCCATGTAAAAGCTGAATGTTAAACAGTGTCAACAGTAGATGTAATATGTAGAGGGTGGTTTTTGTGAGCTTCTAGTTCAGCTTAGGCAAATTAAGTATTTAGGCTTTTCACCCGTTTTTGACTATTTCTGCCTCTGTAGTTCTCTGCCTTTTGTCTGATGTGTTTTCTAAATTCTACCTTGCTCACTAATTAGGCAGATTATAATGTTTCTTACAAATGTAACTTTCTTTCAAACACTCCATTGCATCACATGGACCAGTTTCATTACACCTTTAAGACCAATGTCTCAACCAGGGACACTACACCATGGAAGTCTGGGCCCTGATCCTGCAGCTAAGTGATGTCCTGGACATATGGGGACATATTTGGACCCTTAGATTTGTTTGTGTGTGTGTTTCCTGACTCAGGTGAGCTATCTACTTCTTAATGCAAGGTGTATTTTCTTATGATGGGAGGAAGACCAAGAATCTGATCTCTAGCGTGATGTGATATAAATTGACACACTATAATTGAAATAACAGCAAATGACAGTGTAGTGTGAGTTGAGTCCTTTGTAGGGTGTGAGGCAGATGACGCAGCTGGTATCACACATACCTGAGTCAGCATGGCTCATTGACTGAATGATCCAGGATGGTCAGTGTGTGCCTATCCCAGCACAGTCAAGATCCTTGCCTATGGGAGTTGAAGCAGCTCACAGCCAGGACCTGAGCACCAGGCCAGCTTCTGTATTTTACAGTTAGAAGAGTGGATAAATTAAAATGTACTTTAATTCTCTTGTTTTCAAACTCATTGATACAGCAATCAGAGCTATAATCTTTATGGGCCAGATTATAATATTCTTTCTAACAGTGAATGAGACTAAGTGAAGCAGCCCTGGGTCTTGGAAACGACTCAGGATATCATAATCTAGCTCTGTATGCTTTATAGTTATCATTATCTTTTTCTGCTAGCAACAGTAAGTTGCACACAGGTATAATTTTAAAGCTAGAGAATATGTGAAATGTGTCTTGAATAGATGAGGCTCAGCCAGATATTGTTAACATATAATTAAAAATAAAGATAAATACAACTGATATGACCATATGCTTAGTGCATTCTCTTTTGTGGCAGTGCCTCAGGGAGGAGCCATGAGGGAGAGGTTGCTCCGTTATAATCTTCTGACAAAGCCTCTCAGAAATCCTTCTGTGGAGACCACAGAATTTTCTCCCCAGAGTACAGAGCTATTGTTCTTTTCCATAATAAATCCAGCTGTTTTGCCAGTGTCAGAAGATATGAGGGCTATTCGCATTCTCACCCTCCTTCCATCGGAAAGATGCATTGTCTTCTGCTCAATCCTTTTTCTTTGTTGTTTTTGTGTGCATCCCATTATCTTTGTATTTTATATATTCATTCTTCTCTGGCCTCCTGTACCCACAAATTTCCTGCATATCCCTCAAGTTGGACTCCTGGCAGCCAATTAGACAGCAGCATGGCTGCCCTGGCCAGCGTGCCATCTGTGCTTCTACCCATGTGAATCCCTGCTCTGGGCAGCAAGGGAACTGTGGTACCAGCAACAGCACCATGATGGCCTGCAAGATTGCCCTTTGCCAGCTGGTACTCTGCAAGGACAGAAGTATGCTGTAAAGATGATAGGACAGAACATGATCGGAAAGAGTTCAAAAAATGCTAAAACAAAACTCCTTTCATTCACCTGGAAGCCTTTCTGACTGGGAGCAGTTTCACTGCATTCTTCCATGCATTGTACCTAGGGAAGGCAGCTAGACATTGCCACCAATGAGCAGAAAAGTCTCAGTGAAAGCAAGATAGCTGATTTTTTTCAGGGAAGAAAACTTGGTTCCCTTTATGTTCTGAGCAGTTACTGTGAAAATGAAAGTGTAATGGAGACAGGATGGAGAGCGGTGAATTTACGTTGTAGCTTTTTTGTGGGTGGTTTGAGGAATATTGGTTTATTTCATGAAGTGTTGTACTCTAACCGCAGAAAAACTGTACCTTGGGACCGTTCCTGATAAGGTTTGAAGAAGGATAAGAAAAAGGATAAATTGATCAGATAACAATTGCAAACGTTTGATGTGAAAGAAAAGAAGATATGAAGGAATTAATAACACAAAATATTAAAATGTATTTGTAAAGTAAAAAACAAAAGTCCATACAAGGACAGCTCCTATAAGTAGTCTGCAGTTTTAGATTGCTGTTAAATGACTACTGAACTCTTTGAAGGTCATGTCAGGTTGTTTCACCAAAACGTTTTCACTCTTCTACCTATATTTAGTGTGAGTTTTTAATGGCCTGAAGTGCACAAGTGTGTAATGTGCCTGTTGGTGCAGTTCCTACCGGGCACTCGGGACCTTCGTTCATGGAGATCATGGCAAGACGCAGGGCCTGGTACCTGCGACATCCCTGTGGCATCACAGTTGGGAAAGGGAAGAAAGTGGAGCAGGGTTTACACGGCCATGGGTCCCCTTTGAGGGGCTCATGCTCAGTTACACGGTTTCAGTCCAGAGTGCCAGCACCAGTTGTAATGGAGGGAATTGCTGGGGGCTGTAAATGCTGGGGAAACTCTGGCTCATGTTACTGCATAGCTGTATTTAATAATGTGGAGTTCCTTAGTTTACAGTGAAAAGATTTCAATTCTTAAAGGTGAAAATAAGCATTCTGATTTGAAGTGAGCTTTGCTATGGCAATAGAATCATGCTATTCATTCCATTCATTTGAACTCTAGGTAACATTTTGGTCTGTGCTCTATTTAGTGCACAGACATATTTGAGAATGTTGACTCCACATGATGTTCAGTGGCTTTTTGGGGAAAAAAAAATAATATGGCTGTTATAAAATAAAGTGTCGTTATCACATCTTTTCTGGGGTGAATGATACATGGCCTCTGTTTTGTATTTTAAAACTAGGTACATGAAGATTCCATTAAGTATATGACACATTTTTCCTCTGTTCAATGCAGATGACAATACACTGCATGGGCCAGTTTTCCTTCAGGAGCCCAACAGCATGATCTTCCCCTTGGATTCAGAGGAAAAGAAAGTGAAGCTGAGCTGCGAAGTAAAAGGAAATCCCAGGCCAACCATTGGGTTTGTTGAATGTTTAACTATTATTTGGCAAGATCTCCATGCTTACAGCAGTAACGCCCAAGAATCATTCTCCTGTGTGTATCATGCACTATAACTCGGTGATGCCCCTGGAGCCTACGACAGTGCTGATAACAAAAAGAAAAGGCATCAGGAAATCACTGCATATTGCAGAGCAATTGCAAATTTTGAATAGGAGTTCAAAAAGGTTATGAAGGGATTATAAATAGTCTTGGCTCCCAGCTTAACCATCCTTCTCCATAAACATGGACAAAGCTCGTAATTGCTTTCAGCCTTAGTAACTGTGTTGGAATCCTTAGAAAAGAGATGCTATACTGCTACTGTGGTGCTGCTGCTGTAAATCATTTTGGCTGCTGGGTTTTTTTTCCTTCTGCACATTTCTCTTTTTCTTTTTTTTCCACCAAAGTAAATGCCAATTGAAACAGATTAGAGTCATTAGACCTCAGCCAACATACTGTCTTCTGACACAACCTACTATTTAATGCAATAAACTCTGTTGATTCACAGGTACAAACATGCTCCAGTTGTTCCTCTGTACGTTCTGAGAAAGAGAGCTGCTCTGCAGCTGTGGTGCCCTTGTATGCTCTGTGGAGGGCTGGTGGGGATGAGGGTCGTTGTAATAGGGGCAACATGGTGCTGGAATTCGTCAGTGCCCCAGTTTGTGACAACATCTACTGTTGAGTGAATTCTCTGAAATTCAAAAGCAAACAGCCAGCAAGTTGGTAGAGTTAAAAAAACAACTCAGTGGACACGAATGGTTTAAAGATTCTGTTCCTAGGACTTCCTCTTGCAAAATGATTAATTCCAAGGAGCAGCAGCACTAGCAACTACAAAAACATTAATCATCTCAGAGGCTGAAATATGTGTCAAGGATATTGCTCTTTCAGTTAAATACTGGATTATTTGAATACTGTGCAGAATATTTGCTTTTTCATGCCTTATTTTTTGTATTTAATAAGTAGTCAAAGATGTTTTAAATCTATATTTACTTCATGTTGTATTTTCAAGTACCAAAGAGTATCCGTTAATATTAGCAGAATATGACTTTGGCATTTTGTGCTATAGGTGGAAGTTAAATGGAACCAGTATTGACACTGGTATGGATTACCGCTACAGCGTGGTGGAAGGCAACCTGTTGATCAATAATCCCAATAAAACCCAAGATACTGGAACATACCAGTGTGTAGCAACAAACCCGTTTGGAACAATCGTCAGCAGAGAAGCAAAGCTTCAGTTTGCTTGTAAGTAAGAACGCGGCCTCTGTTTCTGCAGTGTGCTGGAAACACGGAGAGAGCAATAACTCCTTTCCTAACCTTTTTAAATGCATTAATATGTATTCTCTGAGCTGTTCATGGCTTAGAGGAAACATCTGGATTTAGACAGGAAATGTGAATGAGAAATAGCTGCCTTGGTTTATGATGATTTAGATAAAATTATAAGTGGCATGCAAGGTGAAATCTTTTATTTCTTGAGAAAGAGGCCACCTTGGAAAATATGTGGCAAATAGGATTTCACTATTGATTTTTCTTTCATTGGAGAATTAAATCTTAAAAATATTTGAAGGATCATACTCTTTGTAAGGAATAAATTCACAATAACAGTTTCCACAAGTTCTACATTTCGCTGCTTGGGTACAAGTACTTTCAGGTATGGGTGATATTTTGTAAATCTGTGTGTAAAAGGGAAAACAGCCTGCTTTATACATATTTTGGGTTAAATCAGAGTTGCAGCTTCTTGTCAAAAGCTAAGGATAACAAAAGACACAGGTCTTGATTAGCATTATATGAATTAGCATTATATGAAATTATGTAAAGCCATTTCAAGTTAGAAGATAAAGTCACTAAGAGTGGGCAGATGATAGCGCAGGACCACGAGTCATCTTTTTTCTCATGTAGTTGTGAAGGTGAAGGCAGAGAATAGATACATGGGTTTATTCATCCATCATCTGTGTGATTTCTCTGTGCCATTGCCCTGGGAGGACTGTACATAGCAGCTTAGTAATTACAGCAGGACCTGCTATGAAACATCCTTACGTGTACGTGCAGGAGTTCAAGGCAGTCTGTTCCCAGACGTGAAGCTATCAGTAATGGTGAGCTGGGCTTTCAGTAGAGCTTAATGAAAGATGCTTTTGACTGACTGGTGAGAGAAGCTGATGTGCTCCAGCTACAAAAATGAAAAGGTAAAAATGCCAATAAACAGGTTCATACAATATAGAGAGATGAGTAATGGGAAATACTACTGTGAGTAAAGTCAAGTCGTCTGTCTCCCTGTATAGTTCACAATATATTATCCTTTTGCTTATGACCTGCTTGTGGTTTTCCATGACTAAAGGTGTGTTTTTGCTCTGGATGGGTAATGAACAGCTTCCTACAGACCAGTCTCATCACTTCAGGTTTCAGTATGACAAGGTGATTGCTTCATAAATACTGCGCTGGTCTGCTTCTCTGGAGACCATGTGTCTCGCAGCAGGCTCTGTCTTACAGATTGTGGCCTTCTGCTAGCTAGCAGAGTGAGCCTGGGAAGCGTTGTTACTCAGAGCAGAGCACTTCAACTCCCCATTGGCTGGAGTTGTGCTGTTTGCTGAAGTAAATAATTTAAGAACAAGCTGGGTATCCAGGTCGCAGCTTTTCAGACTCTGGTCCCGAGCCTCAAAGTTCAGGATGTGGGACTAGGAGGGAGGATCCTGATGCTGGAAAGTGCGGCATCCACAGACTACTTGAGTAGTGAAATGCATCAATGTCCTAGCTTGTTTAAAGCCTTAGGTGCTTATTAATCAAGAGCTTGCAAACACAGAGAATTCTGCAAAAGAGTAAGAAACCTTTCACATTTTGTCTTTGCTTCGGATACAGAGTGTTTATTAAATTCTGATCAATTTATCTATCTTGATCAATGATATATGTGGCCAAAGCCTTTAAAGTTTCGTAGCTGGCTTGACTGTTTCATAGTTCAGAAGTTTGAATTCAAAACCAAAGCTTGTTCTTTTCCAGTTAAAGTAATTACGGGGAACTTGAATAAATTTATTATTTTAATTCCTAAAATTTATTTTTAAGATTGATAAAACAGCATAATGGGACTAGAAATATTTAGATTAAATAAAAAGAAATAACGTTTATGAAGGTAAGCTCTGTGCTTTCACAAAGCAGTAGGTCATTTTTTCTTATATAATGAAAGGGATTGCAACCAGAATTAGCTGATTTATGAAATACACAGAGCAGTTTAAGCTTATTACAAAAGCTCTGCCTCTAAGAACCAATAAAAATGGGCATCCATATTAGTAATGTGTAGTTTTCAGCCTTGACATCTGAGACGCGTGGATGCAGTAGCATGGCTTAATATAACTACATGCCTTTCTGTGGTTTTATTCCAAATGTGATCATTTTTGCATGGCCTTCTGTAGGTTTTGCATGGAATTACCTAAAACTCTGTTTGGGGCGGACTTCTTGTAGCTACTGGAGCTCTCTCTTAAACCTTTTTGCTCTCAGATTCTTCCCTTTTATCGAGTTATTTCCCTTTAGTTTACACCCTTGTAGCACCTAGATTGACCATGAAGTCTCTGACCCAGGTCTAGCACTTCAGCTTGCTCTCTTATGCTCCACTGTGTCACATATTATGATTTAACTGTGGAAAGCCATATGATTAGTGACTCAGGATGGTACCACTTAACTGTCCGTAGCTTCCCCCTTCATCCAAGCAATTTCATATTTTCCATCCTGGTTGTGTGTTGTGTGACTTTTGTGTTCTCTCATATTTATTTCTGAGGAAAGTTATGCTGGGTCTGTTGAGACTAATGTCTGGGGTTTGGAGCTTTCTTTCTCTCCTCTTGAGAGTTAAATTCTGAACCTTGGGGTATCAGTAAAATATGGTCGTTCATTCTTCAAGGGCAGTATTATTCTTCTCTAGCATTTTCACTGAAGATTAAACTGTGATCTAGCTATTTAACCTTCTGTGGACGTCAGAAAAGGTCAGCGATTTAATCCTTTAAACATGTATTTAGGTTACAAACTCATTATGTTAAAAGTGCTAGAATTTTCCCCCAGTACTTGCTTTGTGATATGTCACATTTCAAATTTATTCTTTTTTTCTCTTTCTCTTGCCTCTTTTGTTTCTTTTTTTTTTTTTTCCCCAATGGTAGTTGTCTCTGAAATTGAACATATTTTCATAAAGTGAGGAATCTGCTGTGCCGCAGTTACAGAATATGGATTAATGTTACCCTAAACCCTGTGCTTAAAGCAGTACAGGCTTTCAGAAAATAAAAAAGAAAGCTTTAAACTCCTGAGTATGGATTCTAATAATGGCTTTTCCGAAATGATATACGAAAACACAGCTGAACTAGATTAAATTATGTGCTTTTTATTTTAGGGGATGGGGCTTAGCTTGACAATTTTATTCACTGTACTGTAGTTTCTGTTCGGAAATAACACTGAAATCAATAAGAAGTTATGCCTGGAAAGAAGTGCAGCTCTGATGAGGCAGTTTAGAGACGTACCCACCCATTCAGACATCATTAAAGGTGTTTACTGTGGCCAGGATCCTGCTTCAATTTAAGTCGAAGATAAAACTTGTATTGATTTTTAGTGGCACCAGAGTTGGACCATACCCCTCAGGAAATGATGAACTTGCAAGTTGTTCCGCCTGCTCAGCCCCGTTTTCTTTTCAGCATGACTGGGAGGTGCTGAGCAGCAGTTGGCCATGGGTAGGAAAGCAGTACAGCTCCTTGTGTAGAGGTACGCTGTGAGCAGGATGCGGTTTTAATGAGTGTCCTTGCCAAATTATTTCTACTGACTATGAGATCATTTACAGAATGGAACATTAGTGCACACACGTGCTGGAAGTTGCACTTGTACTGAACACCTCCACAGACATAAAACCACATGAAGTCCTGGGAAAGGCTGCAAGAGTTTGTCTGTCCCCACTGCAAGGTGGCATCGATGCCCTTCCCTACAGAAGCTCGCTAGCCTTTTCTGCAAAACTCTTGCAGACCCTTCTTGGGAGTATATATTTGGAGAACTATGCATTAAGATTTAGTTTCAGCTATTTTGGTGGCCTTTGCTAGTCCTGATCTTACTTGCTAGCACCTACTGCTGATCATCCAGAGTATGCTTGCACTCCATATCCTGTGCAGGTAATGATCCAAGGGCTTTCAGACCTGTTTCTCCCCCTTAAACTGCTACATTGAGTGTGCTACAAGTCCAAAGGATTGTGTTTTGAGAAGGTGAGCCAGGCATCTTTTCACCAGAAATGCCTTTGTAGAAGCCTCCAAGCTATTGCCATGTGAGGGTGCATGTGGAGAGTGCCAGCTTCCACATGATTTGTGACTCTTGTCTTTGGATTTGCTCTGGTTTAACCAAAGGTTTGTCAAACAGAAAGGGGCCAGATAGTCAAAACTGGTCAAAATGAGCAACACTTCTGGAATTGGGTTCAGGGGAAATAGGGCTAAATAAAGATTTCCCTTCTGTTTGTAATTCTTTGCTAAGTGATGTCCAGAATTTTACTTTTATGGTCACGTTGATGTGATGGAATAAGTGAGACATGGCTTGCCCCAGCAAAGAGAATAGCAATTACTGTCTTACGTTTCAGTTGATTTGTGAGCACCTGTAGAATAGCATCTCTAATCACAGAATCACAGAATGTTTTGAGTTGGAAGGGACCTTAAAGACCATCCACTTCCAACCCCCTGCCACAGGAGCGAAGGGGATACCTCCTAAACCAGGTTGGTCAAAGCCCCATCCAGTGACTTGAATGAAAGATTAACTGGATATATGTAACTTTGAAGGGACTACATTTGATATTTGTTCTACCTTGCTGAGGCCAGTTTGTGTTCTACCATCAAAGATTTGAAACTAGACATCCTGCATGGCTCCAGGAGCAGTGCACTGGGTCACTCTGTCCACCCCTGTGCCCTCACCCCCACCCCAGGGGTCTGCAGACTGTGTCTGCTCAATTGCCACCTCTGCCTGCAGCAGCTAATGCATCCCCAGGACAGAGCCAAGGCTCTACTCTGCTTTCCTGGCGTATGATCTTTGTCTTCTCCTGTGGAACCATCCCCGATACTGGTAGATGAAATATCCTTTCCCTGCTGTGATAACTAGACTCAATTTGGCCCTAAATTCCTCAGCACGATTTACAGTTTAACCTGAAAATACACAAAGACAGTGCTACCTGCAGTAATACTGGCTTCAAAGTGAGCCCTCAGCAGAGCAAGCAAGTAGCCATGCAGTTAGCTGTTGCCTTTCTCATCAGT